CCGATCGTTATTATAGTTGATACATTCCTTGGGTTGTCCTGGGAATATCAATACTAATTATGTCTTAGTTAACTGAACTTCCTGTCTGCCCTCTAGCCTTAATTCAAAAACCTACTTTTTCGAACTTCTCCAACATCGTTTGGCTTATTTGCACCAAATTTGACTCAGATCATCTTCAGACCATGCTGACAAAAACGTATTGAATTTGTGTCGATAGGTGTAATGGTTTTCGTTTACTGGACCGACAAGCTACATCTGAAGTTATATCTCTGCGATAGTAAAATTTTTTTTTAGGTCAGTCATTATGGTCTCACACTGACCAGACCATAAAATTTGGTGACATTGCCACCTATGGGTCAAGAGTTAAACTTGGATCATTTTAAGACAATGTAGACCAAAAGTTCTGGAATTAATGTCAATAGACAACTGTTGTCATTTAGCACATGCGCAAACTTGATTTAATGCTGCCAGGTGACATTACAGGCCAAATCACTGCTATAGTTTGAAGTATTGAAACCAAACTTTAAATGTGTGATCTAGACCTGACATTGACCAAACTACGTCACTAAACTTCTGGGTAAAATTAACAAACATTTAAATTCTGTGAATATAAATCATACAAAATGTATTAAATGATGAATGAATAATTTTGTCTATTGTCATGAGACTGGTCTTGCAGATTCCTTGTATCATACTGAGCACATTGATATAATTTATTGCCTAATTGACATGACTTCCTGTCCCACATCTTGAATTGGTTTGAAAATCTGTTGTTTTGAACTCTTTATAGATTTTTAGCCCAATTTCCACCAAATGTGTCTCAGAACATGCTGTTGTTGCCGTGCTTGTTTATGATCTGGCCGCTGGGCTGCTTGGCCCCGATAATTGCTGCTTGCAGCTATATTTATATATTTTTTTAAATTAAATTCTGCCATTTATTATTATTATTATTTTAATAAAACCACAGTTTTTTAAAATCAAAGTATGAAAATGTGACAGTCTGTGATCAAGTGGAAGAAATGCACATTTTAAAAGTCTGCAAAAGCGCATGACCATGCAGAGTGTCCTATATGGATATGTCCATTTTTACCGTGTGGTATCCATTGAAATGGTATCCATTACCCAAGTCATGTTCCGAAATGTACAGTAAATGAATAGGTTCATAAAAGTCATAAAGCATTTTGTCAGGATGTAAAGATCTCCTTACATAAGCAAAAATCCAAGTCTGCAAGAAATGGTTTGCTTGAACTATCTGAGCCTGAATGTTGCTCTAAGGAATAACAATAAAACAAGATATCATTGTTTCAGTTATAATAACAAATAAAGTAATGTAGTTTTCATACTCCATTCATTTTAACCTGTTTTACACTTTAAGCAACTGAAATGAAACAGGAAAGTACTTGTAACAGTGTTTTGACTGGAAATAAGATAATATAATTTCCAGATTAAGTTTTCAGTGTCTGATTGCTTAATTGACTGATGCTTTTTAAGTGAATAATTTGACACTGTCTGTTTTCATGTACTCGTGAGAAAATGCTCTCAAGTGTGTAATAGTATTACACAAGAGTCATGTTTAGATAAGTAACATCTGAAGAGTCAAATGTGAAAGGAACTTTCTTTGGATTTCTTTCCCCACTTTTCTATTCTTTTCCATGCAGTGAATGAAGCTTTCAGTCTCCCAAAGTGAACAAGAACATCATGAAGGTGTCATAGCTATAATAATTTGAAAGTATCAACGATTTGTATATGAAACAAAACAAAACAAACAAACAAAAAACTACTTAAATGTATGTGATTTTCAGTTTGAATGACTGAGGAAATTGAAGTGTAAGTGATTGATCAGTGCCTGACAGATGAAGAGGGTCAGTAATAAAGCTCTAAGGGTGACGAGGCTCTGCTTGTTTGTCAGCTTGGTGTTGATAGGTAGTTAATCAAGCCATGTCAGGAATGGAGTTTGGTTTCGACCCCACTGCAGGCCCTAAACCTGCAGGTTATATTTGGCCCACTGGGCCCCGTTAGAGACTGAGAACGCAGGCATAGCGCAACAAAACACCAGTTAAACACCTTCCCAGAATCTGGAAAATAAATTCTCTGAGAATAGGCGAAAGAACCCAAAACCACAGCTTTCTTTATGTTTTCTTTTTATAGCAAGGAAGTTCAAAGGTATATATTTTGGCATTGATGTTTTCACAAACTAGTCACTTTTTTAAGCGCAACTGTTACATGATATAATGACTAAATCATATCTAAATTTGAAATACGTATAAACAAAATTTTAATATACTATAAACATTACAAGATATGTTTTAGGTGCAGTTAAACAAAATTAGGCCAAAGCAAAGTTTAAATTTTGTTTCAGAAGTCCAAAACTGCTTTGCCAAAGGGAACTTTCAGGGAAAGCTGGTAAACACCTTCAAAATACCATGTGTCTGTGACGATTATGTAATTGAATGCTACTCTGAGCTCTGCTTCTTTGCCATGAAACTCTCTGGTTCATTTCCTCTTCTCAGTCCATGGAGATCAAATGTCCCCAAGTAAAAACATCAACACTGGAGAGCTGCTTTATAGGTGAATTTGAAGTTGTAATTCTAATTGAAAGAAACACCAGCAGAGTCATTTTTCGTGCTTAACTCCTTCCCTGCCATGGACAGAATTTTCCACTATTTATGACGCATACTTCCCTGCCGCCGGTGCTATTTTCTGGCTTCTCATGGTTAAAATGCTATAGCTGTAGCACATTCAGAAATAGTACAGAATCTCAGCATCTACAAACAAGAGCATGGAGATAGTTTTAACACTTAAAAACAAAGTTTTAACAGAAGGTAGAATATTCTTTAGGTATTCTAGGTATTAATTTTCTTTTGCTTTTATTTTATATATATATATATATATATATATATATATATATATATATATATATATATATATATAGATATAGATATATATATATATATATATATATATATATATATATATATATATATATATGTGTGTGTGTGTGTGTGTGTGTGTGTGTGTGTGTGTGTGTGTGTGTGTGTGTGTGTGTGTGTGTGTGTGTGTGTGTGTGTGCGTGGTGCATGACTGTTTCTTGCAATCCATTTACTAGCAGATTTGTAGTCCTACAAATCAGCACTCAATTACTTTTTTTTTTAATATTGTAAAGCACTTTGGGCAGCCATATAATGTGCTATATAAATAAAGTTTCATTGATTGATTGACTTTGTGATCTGTGTGTTTACCAGTGATCTGAAAAAAAGCCATTATTCTAATTATTTTTTAAAAATAATGTATAATAAATTATATAATTTATAATAATAATAATTATATATATATATATATATATATATATATATATATATATATATATATATATATATATATATATATATACATACATACATGTATTTATGTATATATTTAAGATACATTCTTTCTTTAAATATAGTATGCAGTATATTATGAAGTACTGTCTGAATAAAGACTTTCTTAGATGCTGCTTTCTCACCACTGTCATTTTTTGTGTTTATTTTGTACTTTGTTGAATGTGTACAGCACTAAGTACCCATGAAACTTCCAAATAGACTAAACAGAATAAAGTCTGTATCTATTCTTAATCTGAATGTATTCAACCTCATAAATCCACTCATCCATGTTGTTCGGCTCTCTTCTCCTCTAACTCACTTTCACTATCACCATCTTTTTGAACAAAAGAGCCTGTGTGTGAAAGTTCAAATACCAGCGAAGCCACATATTGTGGCCTTCCAAAGAAAAACACGGCTTTCTCAGTCACTGTGTGATTATCAGCGGGTGGAGACATAAATAGCACAAACTCTGATAAGAAGTAACAGGCATCCACAGTGCTGTTGTAGTCATGTTTTTGGCAGAATGCAGGCGAAGGAGGGATGCAATGAGAAAAGAAGACAGGAGAGATGTTAGGATCAGAAATGATGAATGGGAGGTTGCTATGACACTGAGGTTCTCCATGTTGGGGTCACAGCTTCACTTTGGTTCATCATAAATGCAAATGGATTGCATGGGAACTGCATGCTATTTATGATTTAAATAAAAACATACATTTTATTGCTGTGGGGTAATGACATACTGCATTTGAAATATGTCTGTTTTCTATGCTTGATACAGTCACACCATAGGAAAGTTTTGAGATTTCACTCAAAAATGTAAGAAAATATATAATAACACAGCAGAGGTCCATGGAAGACAAAGCCATATTTAACCATTTACTGCATTTTAAATGCTAATTTAAATACTAATATAATAATATAAATAAATACTAATTATGTTCATTGTTTGTCAAGTTTGACAGTGAAAACGCAAAATTGCATCGACAACCCGTTTCTATATTTTAATATTGGTTGAATATTTTATTGACTTGCAGGCAGTTGCACAGTAGATTTATTTTCCTGTAGATTATTTAAAAATGGAATTAAAGAAAGTAAAAGACGACTGTTAGGAAAAAAAAAAATAAAAAACTTAATGGTTTAAAAAAAAATCATAATTATTTTCTAAAAATGTAAGATGTAAATGTATAACAGTTTATATAAAAAAAATAATAAATTGTATGATTTTTCTAGTTTATCTAGTTTTACCAAATAATCAAATTATTTTAATTAGGATTTTTTCTTGATTGGACAGATGCTGGATATCCAAAAAGTTTATCTGATATCCCTGTTTAATTTAATTTAATTTAATTTAATTTAATTTAATTTAATTTAATTTAATTTAATTTAATTTAATTTAATTTAATTTAATTTAATTTAATTTAATTTTTTTCTTTGCTTTGCTTAAGACCAAAAAGGCCAGAAAGGGTGTGAGAATTCATTCTAGCAGCTGAAGCTTGAGTTCGGAGCCCCATGTGTCCTTCCTGTCTTTACTGAAAGTCCTCATTGTCTTCAACACTCTGTGCATTTCTTTTTCACTTCCCTTCTCACTCTTGCTCTCATTTGACCTCTTTTTTTTTTTTTTTTTTTTCCTGTGTTCAGGTGGCGTTACATCTGCGGCCCATCCAGTCCCTGCATGTGCACCAGAAACCACTGGTTTTCATCCTGAACTCCCCTCAGCCCATCCTCTGGAAGGTCCGGACAGAGAAACTGGCCCCAGGAGTTAAACGTATCTTCCATGTGAGTCTGGCCTGCTTTATGACTCTCAAACCATCTCTCCATCACAGCCCTGTCTGACTCTCCTTCCTCCCCCTACCAGTTCTGAGCCAAATCCATTGCAGTAATGAATATTCAGATTCTCATTCATCCCAGATCAACAAGCATCTTTAAACACACAATTCATTTACACTCTCTTTGGCTCGTCTTGCCTTCCTCAAACAAACTCCTGTCAGCAAAGGTCTTACTGGCTCAAAGATGCATTCAGGTGCGTGTACCCATAGGAAATGCAAACATGCACACAAACAAACAGACCCACCCAAGTACACACACATGCGCCAACACCAGCATCTTTCAGACAGAGGTTGGTGTAATTGCATTTGGCGCAGGCTCACAGGTTTATATTGACTGCTGTAGTCTGAATGTTCACCATGTTGCCTGATGGATGTTTGGTGGTGAGACGGTGCTGAGGTTTATTCTCTAATTGTGGCTTTTCTCTGTTTCCCATTGCTTTTGCTGCAGAAACACTTATTGCTCAGTGGGTGCTCTTTTAAAACTCAGCCTTACAGAAATCCCTGATAGTCATTAGTTATATTAGTTGCAATGTTTCCCATACCATTATATTAGCGTGGCACGCCGCTCCCCAACGGCTTTCCCTGCCCCCTTGAAGTCAATTCATTTTATTTTCTATATATCACAACTTATTTTATTAAACAAGCTAAATAGCTGTATGTAATATCTTTATATTAACACAACAGCATGTCATTTATGTTTTTAGATGGTCGCGCATTTACAGATTTCTGCTTTCTGAATCACGCAGGGTAAAGTTCCTCACAGCCACTCTCTGCTGTATGGGAATGAGAGTGCATGCCACATCTGACAGGCGAATCATTTTGAACAAATCTTTTGCATGACTCGAGAACAATAAGTCCTTTGAATGATTCGTTCATTCACGCATCCAGGTGAAGGAGAAGATCAGTTAATTATACAAGTCTTCTATCGGGTTTGAAAGACACATGAAAGAAAGAAGCCCGTCAAACGCATTTAGAGCCGGAGAAAAATTTGATTTGTTCAAGTTCTCGGTTTGAGTGTCTCATTTATCACATGAAAGACAGAAATGATCCAAACTTTGACCCAACTTGGCTGTAAGAGCGGCAATACTCCCCCTTGCTTGTATAAGACTAATCATGGTAAGAAAGTCAGTAAATACACACTTAGGAAAAAGAAGTATACTTCATTTTTAAAATACATATACTTATGTAAAGGTCAAGTATAAAGTACTACACTGAAAACAAGTGTTGCATGAAGAACTGTTGCATACAATTTATTTGTGTTGAATTTAAACAACAAATTAAATTGAATAATGTTCAACTTAATTTGTTTAAATTCGACACAATAAAATTGTTTACAATTACTTAAAATTGAGTAAATCCAAGGAATCATCTTTGAATAATTTTATCAGTGTAGTAGTGTACTTGTGTGCAACCCCAATCGCCCCACCCCATTGCTTGTATAGGAGAAACACAGACTTGTATAATGTATTTATTCAAAATTAGATTTTTTTGCTGACCTGCTTACATCATCTTTTAAAAGTGACTTGTATCTGATTGTCTGTATTTACACAGCACACAGCAAAGGCGCAATGATCTGGAAAAAAAAAAGAGCACTTCTAGACTGACTTGAATCTGACATGAACTAAGTATATAATGGATTTTTAAAAACAAATACATTTGACTTCACTAAGCCTTAATTGGAATGAAAAAAAAAAACTAAATTATTGAAAAAAATAATGTAAATGTCTCATGCGTTTAATAGGAATGGAAGCATATATTGGAAATGTAAATTTAGTTTGGTATGTAAAATTAACATGTAACAAATATATGAATCTGATTTGGTTTTATTTAGACTGAACTTTAAAAATCTGGAATCTGAATTTAACTCGACTAACAAATATTATAAAAATGGTTCAAGTTCAATATTTGGATGGATATCTTTCGCTAAATCTATAACTAGCATCTATTTTAACTAGAAATAGAACTAGCCCCTTCATTCATTCATTCATTCAATCATTCATCCATCCATCCATCCATTAATTCGTCCGTGTGTCCATTCATCCGTCCATTCATCCATCCGTCCATCCATCCATCCATCCATCCATCCATCCATCCATCCATCCATCCATCCATCCATCCGTCCATCCGTCCGTCCGTCCGTCCGTCCGTCCGTCCGTCCATTCATTCATTCATTCATTCATTCATTCATTCATTCATTCATTCATTCATTCATTCGCTTATTATTTTTGATAATCTCTAACTTTACTATTTGGAAGGGATCTATCATGATTTGCTGTTAACTTACGAATTATCAGTCATTAAATCACAACAATGGCAGACATTAAAATTATTAAAAAGGTTTTAATAAGGTCTATTTCAGCAAATCAGTTCTAAATGTAATAGTTTACTTTCATTTTATAGATAACTTGCACAGCAATGTACTCTATACCATGCAGTATAAGTGAATTGAATAAGCTAAATTGGCCTTGGTGTATGTGAGTGAATGGGGAGTGTTTGGATGTTTCCCAGTGTTGGGTTGTGGCTGGAAGGGCATCCGCTGCGTAAAACATATGTTGGATAAGTTGGCGACGCCTCATTAATAAAGGAAAGAAGCCGAAAAAAAATGAATAAATGAATTGTGGCCCTTTTTGTGTATGTTTGTGCTTTCAAAACTTCTCACATAGAACATAAATCAGTATCAATCTCTAACTACAGTATACACTAATTTCTCTTGCTTAAAGTGGTTTTATGAAGCTTGGGGAATTTATTCCTGGAAACCATTTTGATTGAAGAAAAATATACAATGGATCAGCAATAAATACTCTCCTTGACAACATTGTTTTCAAGCCATCCTGTGAAACAGCAGAATTACGTCAGTCCTTTTTACGCTAAAATAACAAGATGACAAGATCCAGGGCGTTCCTCTGCTGAGGGAGCTCAGAGGAGAGCTGAAGGGGATTTAAGTAAAGATAGACGCCCCCCTGGAACAACTTCTCATATTTAGCAGGGGAGTGCAAGGCTTAATGAGAAAATGAAAGTAGGGCTGGACTGTGTTTCTGATCATAAGCATTGCTATCCATAATGGGAAGCGAACTTTTTACCGAACAGCCACATGCAAAATTTTACCAGACATTATACAGTACTTAAGTTGCCATTGTGTAAAACTGAAAAAAAAAGCATCGTTATAGGTGGCCTAAACAAATAAGTGTAGGGTGAAAAGAAAACATTCACACTATATCCTGAGACTTTTAAGTGAAACTCTTTTTGATTGTACACATCTTTTTTATTAGTTTTTCAAAGACCATATAGTTTTGTTCATTCTACTTTTTTTTTTTTTTTTACAAAAATAATGCTAGAAACATAGGGTAACAAACTATAAATACAAAATTGAACAAACAAACAAACCTATAATCTATATTGCAAAATCCACTTACAAAACATATTGTACATGTGCACAATTTTTAGTAAATGACTCTAGCTATGTTTTCATCCAAAAATGTGAATTAACTTATTGCGCAAAACTGGAATATTGCATTAAAGATGTGTGAATAAAGCAGCGTTTCTGTCAAGCAAGTCAAAGAGAACAAAATCGTCACTTCCTGATTAACTGGCACCAAATATCAACAGTAAAAATTCCATTTGCTGCAGTAGGAGAAGCTGCATGAACATTTTGCTTTTTTAAGGAATGACTTGCACCTCAGAAGACAATGCTGACATGCATTAACCATTCTGGAGGTAGTTAATAATATAGTAACACTAATACTAAAAAAAGTTAAGACATTTTAGAATGACCAAGACTGCATTTCAGATGTTTTACATGTGCTCAGCCTGCTGGTTTAGCCACTCACACACATTTTTATCATTACTGAAATTAGTTCGGTAAAAGTGATTGCATCATAGTTTATGCGCATCTTTTCTTATCAAATAAAAAGTTTATAATTTTTATGTGCATATATATTTGTATGCGCATTTTTTAAATTGTTTGCGCATCTTGGCACTTCCATCAACTGTTTTTTATGCGTATTTCCAAAATGCACATTAGATGGAGGGAAATGTAGCTACTGTTGGGTAAAGACAGATCCAAGAGTCACCCATACAGTGGCTGTTAAAGGCACAGTATGTATTTTTGGCCACTAGAGGGTATGTAATCATAAACAAACAATAGCATATTTTGATGACACATATGGAATCATGGGAGTTGTCTTCGTTATATCCCATGGGACTGCTGCAGAAATCATGTTCATGGATGAGATATATGCAAAACTTAATATCCTGGCAGAGTATAGTTTTTTGCACAATGAAGTCTGAAATTTTCGTATGCTTTGTTTGCATTCATATCTAAAAAAAAAAAAAAAAAGTCATGCACACAAACCTTGCACACTAAGTCTGATACATATTAATGAATCTGACTGTTGTAAAATAATACACAAAATATTTGATTAGTGAAGACGATTTTGTTGTCTTCTTCTTGCTTAACAGAAAAAAAGATATTGGAAATATTGGGTCCATCTCATCTTTAGATTGTGGAGAGAGGAAGGAGAGTTTGTCTCGTTTCCCCAGTTAGCACAGTTCATATGGCATTTGTGAAACAACCATTCACGCTCGGATCCGTGCCAAATTAATCGGTCCAAGATCGCCTTAATGAGGTGGTCTCGGCTCGATTGAAGCGAACTATGGAGCGGATCGATTTTATATACGGAGAAAGAATTATGAGTAGGGTGGGACGTCATTCCTACCGGTAAATGTGCGTTTCATGGTAAATAAGAAAATGAAAGCATGCTGAACCATTAACCGAACTGCAGTCTAGCCAAGGATATAAATGAAAAATTCTTACCTTTGATTTATATTTGGTGATGATATCTGTCGGTGTCAAAATTAAAGCGAAGTTTTCCGCTAATAATTTTTCTTATTGCTCATCATCATAAATTAAAAAAAGGACGCATGACAGCAGGACTCTGCTAACCAATGATA